ACCACCACACACAGCCTAAGAATTGCGTTTTAATTATTGCTGGATATTTGTTCTCAAATGTAATTACTTAAACTCTGGAGTTTTTTTTATTAAGTATGGTTGTTCGTCACAAGTTTTCGTAATGTGTATACCTTTTAAAAGATTTAAAGATTTCTTTATTTTTTAAGTGTTTGAGTGTTTGTCTACATTTGTATGTATGTGTTCCCCATGCATACCTGGTGCCCATGGAGGCCAGAAGAGGGCATCAGAACTCCCCATGCTGAAACTATAAGTGCTGTGAGTTGCCGGTACAGGTGCTGGGAACTAAACTTAGTGCTACTCATTCTGCATGCTAATTGCTGAGCTATCTCACCAACCCCAATCCATTGTTTACTTTATTTATAGCTACTGATAATTTAATTTACCGTTAAAATATGATCTCTCCCTAAAAGCTGTATCTGCAATAGCACTTGCATTTATTTTCATTGCAAAGTTACTTGCAGTACAGAGTAAATGTTGCTCATTTAACCTGTTAAAAGACTTTGGGATTAATTTTATGTTTGTAGTATGATTATAGATTTATGTTCTGCTTTTGAAGAATGAAATCATTACTTTGTTTTACTGGTAAATTCATGCTTAATGAGTCATCCCTTGTCATTTATGAAAGGAAAATAGCGTTCCATTGTGAAAGCTAGAATTGAGTTAGTCAACCAGAAGCGAGCCTCTGACTGTTTCCAGATGCCTGCTCTTCCTTTCCCCGCAGGGTTTGGATGCAGCACTCAGTCTTACCTCAGTCAGGAATTTGCTAAGCTTGCCTTTTCCCCCATATCCTTTCATTATGGCTAGATAGATCCATGCTGAAATCCATTTTATGATTCCCCGTTATGATAGTTAATCAGAAAAATATGGACAGAAACTCCTGAGCTAAACACAATTTAGAAGGCTTCTTTTACATTTTATGGACTTCAGAAATGACCTTGGTTCTGAATTGTATCTCCTCCTGTGAGTGATCAAGCACTGTTTTTCCCCAGCTGTTTGGTGTCCTACCACAGCTCCTACAGTTGACACTCTGACACCATTTCAAATCACTGTTAGGAAAGCTATGTGGTATGTCCATGTGCTGCAGTGGGGTGCTTGCTGTGACATGGTAGCCATTCCAGTTTCCTTAGAAGAGTAAAGCTAATGGTTAACCCTTTAAGTATGTAAAGCTTTTTCTCACTAACCCTTTCTTTTTCCCGAGAAATGACAATGGAGGGACGAAAAGGTATAGATTAGTCACACATTAGTCACTCTCATTTCTTTGCCCCACTCCTTTATTTTGCCCAGGGAATCTTTATATATCTTAATAGTATGTATGATAGATAGAAACAGTTGCTCTTCAGTTTGGGTGAATTAATTAATAGCCAAAATTCTTAACTATCCAACTCCTCAATTCTTCTAGTTGTTTTTCTTTTCCAACCTTCTCAGACCTAACCATTACTCCCAAAAAATGTGTGATGGAAAGGCCTAGAGCAGTATTGTATTGTTTTTTATAATGACCTTCTGTTTGTATTTTCTTCCTTCATTGTGATGTGTAATATACTGGAGATGCCTTTTCCTATTGCCACATGTTTCATTTACTGAGCTTTTCCTGTCTGCATTAGTACGTTTTTTTTTCTGTTAATAATTTCATGCATTCTAAAAGGTTTAGTAATTTCCCCTGTCTTAGAGTGTACTCCTTGAATTAATTTTATTCAGTAGATTTAACTGTAAATTTTTGTTCCATACATATACCAAACACTGAACTGCTGGGGACACAAACATAAGTCCTAATCTATAAAGTGCCTTTCAGTATATAGAGAGGAAAGCAACTTGATGATTTTACAGTACAATAATCCCACCATTGATATTTTTTCTCTTTCTTTTTTTTTAAGATTTTGTTTATTTATTATGTATACAATATTCTGCTTCCATGTATATCTGCACACCAGAAGAGGGCACCAGGGATGGTTGTGAGCCGCCATGTGGTTGCTGGGAATTGAACTCAGGGCCCTTGGAAGAGCAGTCGGTGCTCTTAACCTCTGAGCTATCTCTCCAACCCTATTTTTTCTCTTTTTCTGAGACAGTCTTTCTAGGTGTCCCAGTCTGGCCCCAGGCTCATGAATGCTGGGATTACAGGCATGTGCCACCATGCCGAACATCATAAATGTTTTTATAGGAGTGAAGAGTAGACACTCTTAGTTCAGAGGACAGTTCATGATCAGGAAGTATACCCCTACTGAAGTCAGGAGTGAGTTTGAAAGAAATAATAGAAGCTGAAAAAAAAGGCCACCTAAGAACATTCTAGGCAGAGATGGTAGCATTAGCCAAAGCATGACAGAAGTGAATGGCACATGGTAAAGTACGTCTTCATGTTTGAAGAGCTTAAACCTGAAACAGGGATTGAGAGGAGGTAAAGGTAGAGGGATTAGGGACCTCCCTTCTCTCCCCCAAAATAGTACCATGTTAAAGAGCTCACCTTTTCATCCCCTACGTTGTGGGTAGCTTTGGACCCAGCATTTAGTAGGGAACATAGGATCCAGTGCTTGTTTTCTGTGGGTTAACCTCATAGCTCTATAGAAAGTAGCTGTTATGTACAGACGCATAACAGATCCCACAGAAACCTAGTAGCTAACATGCATTGTTATCTTCTAGTCTCTGTAGCTCGGGAGGCTGTGGGCACAGCTAACTGGAGTTCTCACAAGGCAGCAATGAAGTTGTTAGCCTCACTGCAGTCATTGCAGGGTCAGTTGAGGGAGAAGCCCTTGTAGCCTCTCTCAAGCAGCTGTTGACAGCCTTCTGTTATTTGGGGCTAGTGGCCTGGATTCTAGTTCCTCTCCAAAGGTATCCCTTCTTCTCTTGACCCATGGGTCTCTTGATAAAGGAGCTCACAATATGGCGGCTGTGAGGTAGCAAGTGAGAGTGAAAGTGGACGTTAGGTCAGAGGCCAGAGTGCTGCAGCTAATCAGGAAGCAACATTTCATCATTTGTCATTCTCTGTCCATGAGTAGCAAGTTGTTAGGTCTCCCTCTAACCTAAACACATTTTAGAGGGAAGATCACATGGGAACATGAATCCTAAGGGGTGTGGGAGCCATCTTTGAAGCTGCCTACCAAATGGACTTGAGTAAGATTAGGTGACAAGGAGCACTTAGGAGGCTAGTGTAATAATCCAGGTGAAAGATCTGGAAATCACTGTGGCTATAGACTAGGATGAACTAGTTAAAAACTACCTTGGGTGTAGTGGCAGGACATACTATTAGTTTATAGAGCGTGAAGGCTTTAAGGGTTAAGAAAGAGTCACAGATGATATTTAATTCTTCATTCCTGTAGCTACCTTACTACACAAATATGTTTTACTTAAATCTGAACTAAAACTCCTGTCCAGCTTGAAAATGTCACGCCTACTGCTCCCTTGCCTCCATTCTTTAGTAAAGTGGCCAGTCCTCAACCTGGCTGTCGCTGTATGCTTCACTATATTGTAAGATCCCTGTTATTTCTGCCTGCTTAATCTCCTTCTGTCTTTGTTCCCATTGCTATTCTTCTTTGCTCAAGAATCACTCTACTTAAAAGTTTGGGAGCACATTTCTAATTCCTTTTCTGTGTCCTTTTCTTTAATCTAGATTCTAAAATGCCTGGTATCTGTATCTTTCAGTCATTCAGCCAACACTTATCACGGGCATACTTGGTGACCAGCACTTTACTAGGCCTCCTTGGGAATATGATGGTGAGCAAGACAAAGCCCCTGTTCCTTTGGTCTGCATTAGTAGCTCCTCTCCTTCTCATCTCTCAGAAGGGTCTCTTAACGCTTTAGGCACACTTCGGAATATGATGGTGGGCTAGACATTGCCCCTGTTCCTCTTGGTCCGCTCTAGTATCTCTTCTCATGTTACAAATATCATGAATCCTTAAGGCACAGTTCCACTTCTAGTTCTCTGTGAGATGCTTTCAGATCACCGGCATGAATTCCCACAGTCCCCACTTCCTGCAGCTGCTTCCAAGAGAACTCTAGACGTTCAGAGATTGCATGAGGTTCAAAGTGAGCAGTGCTGTCAGTTGTTAAGGGCAGTGAAGTTATTTCTGACCTCTCCCCTCAGTCTGTAGCCAACGGTAGAGCAGAGTGTCACCCTCTGACTCACTGGAATCACCTGCAGAGCTTTGCAGACCTGTAGATGTCTGGACCTTCCTTAGCTATTCTGGTTCAGCATGTCAAACTAAAGGAAACTGAGCTCCAAGGTGAACCTGGTGTCCAGCTAGATTAGAGGGTTATTGCACTAATATCACCATTGTGCTGTGAATTGTGTTTTTTTTTTTTTTTTTAAACACGGTCATCCAAAAAACCTAAAGCAGTAATTTGAGTGTTGGGTGAAGATCACCTGTGTCAACCCATAGTGACCTTTGCCCTCCATTCCTAGAGGAGTTCTCATCCATCTGTGAGAGTAACCAGGCTACTCTGAATTTTAAATAATGAAAATATGACTGATAGGGCTGAGGTAACAGCTTAGCCATTATGAACACTTGCTGTTCTTGCGGAGGCCCAGAGTTGAATTCCCAGATCCTACATTGGGTGACTCACAACTGACAGCCCCAGGGGATCGGAAGTCCTTTTCTAGACTTCTCAGGCACCTACAGACACAAGTGCATGTGTGTACACACACACACACACACACACACACACACACACACACACACACACACACACTTTTTTGAGCTATGACTGGTAAATAACCAGATTTAGAAATAGTAGTAGATCAATCAATGGGGTACATTAATATATGTATTCTCTGTAGCGCCTTTATTCTAATAACTTTCTGAGTCTATGAGAAATGTGGAACAAAGAGCAGTAATTATTTTTTCCTGAAATTCTAATAAATCAAATTCTGTTCTTTAAGGAAGTATATTATTACCATCTTACAAACAGAGTTTTTTGTTGTTGTTGTTTTGTTTTGCTTGCAAACAGGGATTATCAAAAATGTGGCTTAATAAGGTTTTTTTCCCCTTTAGTGTTATTCCTCTTTTAAGAGAGTCTGTTGGAATATTAATGCAAAGAACTCCTCCCTCATTGGAAAATACACTTCCCCAGTGCTATCAGAGGGTAAGTTTTGCAAATCGTTGGATTGTGTGTTGTTTCCAAAGTGTTAGGGTTTTCATCTTGCTTAAATATGGGTAGCATGTGCATATAATCTAATCTTTCTTCCAAGACTGAATGTCATTCATATAAACCCAAGTAAATTCATTAGAAAATATTAAACTTTGCTAAAGAAAATGTGTATATTGTCCTCATCTAGAAATTGAGTTATTAAAAAATATAGAATGTGAGTAATTGATGAAATAGCTATATAAGTATATAACTTTCTTATACACCGTTCTATTGCTGTGAGAGACACCATGACCAAAGCAGTTCTTATGTAAGAAAGCATTTAATTGGGGCTTGCTTATAGTTTCAGAGGCTTAGTCTGTTATCATTATGGCAGGGAGTATGGCAGCAGGCAGGCAGGCATGATGCTAGAGCAGTAGCTAAGAGAGAGCTATATCCTGATCTGCAGGTAGAGACAGAGACATACATACACACACTGGGCCAGATGTGGTCTTTTGAAACCTCAAAGGCCCTCCCAATGACATACCTCCTCCAACAAGGCCACACCTCCTAATCCTTCCCACACTCTGGGGACTAAGCATTCAAATATGTGAGCCTATGGGGACCATTCTCTTTCACACCACCACATCAGTGTATTTAAAAATATCTATTTCTATGTGTATGTGTGTGTTTCTGTGTATGTATACCACATTCGTGTGGGTGCCTGTTGAGGACAGGAGGAGCATCAGAGCCTCTGGAGCTGGAGTTACAGGCAGTTGTGAGCTGCCCGCCATGGGTGCTGGGGAAGGAGCTCCCATCCTCTGAAGAGCAAGTGCTCTTAACTGCTGAAAACATCTCTCCCACCTCTCAGTGTGTTTTGTTTGTTGTGGTTTATTTTGTTTTGTTTTTGTGGCACCCACTGTGTAGCAGATAATAGAGGCAGGTGGTGAACAAAGAAAGACACTGTGCTCTCAAGGAGCCCACAGTTTAGTGGGCTCACAAATGTTAAATGATATTGATGGTAAGAAAACATCAGAGATGAAATGAGAATGTAGTAGATGTGGATGGCTACGTCAGATTCAGCAAGGAAGCCATAGCCAAGGAAACTGAAACCCTGATGACCAGAAGTGTCTGGTCATATACAAATCCTTAAGAAGAATGTTTCAGAATGCGACACACACAGAGAGCGAGAGCGAGAGAGAGAGAGAGAGAGAGAGAGAGAGAGAGAGAGAGACAGAGACAGAGACAGAGACAGAGACAGAGACACACACACACACAAAACCACTAATATGAGGCAGCTGTGGCTGGAACTAATTTGGTGTATTTGGAGACTAGCAAAACAGGTTTTGTGGCTGCAGCATGATAAGTAAAGGGGAAAGTGATTGAAAGGTTGGAAAGAAGGCAAGGACCAGATGTTAGAGGGCTTGGTCATGCTAAGAGGCTTAGACTTCACTCATAGTGGGAAGATCTGCAATGCTTTGGTGCAGTGGGAATGTAATGAATTTGTGCTTTAACAAGATTGTCCTATGTAGAGAACATGTTCTGGGAAAAGCTGGCTGAGACTACTGTCCCTGGCAGCAAGATGGAAGCAAATACACATTTGTGGTGTGTTTCTGGAGGAGGGTTGCATTAATGAAGGGGAAAGGGTGTTGTCTCACAGCTTGGTGTATGGTAATGCTACTGTTGAGGCTGAGACTGGGGGGGGCAGTGTTTGAGATCGGGAAGTTAATTCCAAAATAAGATTCTGTTTATAATACATTAAGATTGAAATACTGACCAGACATTTGGGAGGATGACAGCTAAGCAGCACATCTGGCATCGTGGGCACTGATTAGGACTGAAAAGATTTAAAGTCAGGCCAGTGAAGTAGCTCAGGAGAGAGTGCTATCCAGCATGTTCAGGCCAGGGGTTAGGTTCTCAGGGGTGGGGACATGAGGATGGAAGAATGTCTAAAGCATTGAGAAGCCATGTGGTGACCCTGGGAAAGGACATAGTTCTGTTCTCTTGGCTGTTTTCACCTCCAGATTCAGAGCACAGGTGGAAGAGCCAGAAAAGGAATTAGGGGAGCTGCAAAATCAGAAAAGAGAGTCATTTCACCTTTATACATTTTCGTAACTTCATTTCCTGTATTTGAAAAAATACGTCCATTTTGTGTAGGTAGTCAAAATTGTATCTTTAATAAAAAAAATGTCCCTCTGCCTTATTAACCTTTTCAAGGTACCTTGTCCGTGTAATGAATTCTATCATTTCTAAGTATGTATTTATTTATGTCTTTTACTTCCAACCCCTTTTTCTGTGGTCTACTTTGTCATTCTTTTTCTAGCTCCATAACCCGGCCGTACTTCTCTGATCGATTTGTAAATTTAGAACTTCCCTCTAGGTACTCTCAGATGTCTTGACAGATTTTGATAAGTGTTCCTTCATTCTCTTTTCCCAGCCTGTCTCAATGTCACCGGAACATGAGTACTCTCCATAGGCATTTGTTCGGGCATCCCTTTTTTCTGTTGCTGCATAGTTGTATGTAGGTGGGAGGGTGCTGTCTTGATCTTGATGCTAACATCTGCCCCGTGTTTCAGGTGCAACAGTTACAAGGAGTTTACAGCTTACAAGAACAGCACTTCTGGACGCTCTGTTCTGATGTTTATGTTGGGACCTTGAAGCTCCTAGTTGCCCCTGATGCTGACGCCAGGTGGATCTTAAGCCAAACACATAATATTTTTACACAGGTATGACTTGTTACAAACCTCTCTTAAGAGTCTTACATTTTTCTGTATCTATTAGCTTTAAATGTCTTACATTTAACATATCAAATATTGAAGCTACTAAACTAAAAGAATAGATATTGTTCTCCAATCTTAGTGAAATTTGGAAAGTCCTTTCCTTAACAGCCAGCCTCCCTCTCTCCCTTCCTCCCTCTCTCCCTCCCTCCATTATTTTATTTTTTTCCAGTGCTGGGTATTGACCCAGGGCCTTCCACTTTAGTTAGTGTTGTTTGGAGTCTAAACATTCCTCTAAGCAGAATGACTTTTCTATGATGTGTGTGTCACTGGGGACAAACTTCTCTCTTTCTCTCCCTTTACAACTTCAGGCATGAATATAATATGCAGTCTAGTTAAATTCAAGGCATTCCATAAATTAGAGATTCTGCCTCCTGATGAGAGACACACATGCTTAGGTTCCATATGAATGAATTACTGAAAGATCTAATGTTAATTAGGATTTACATAATCCCAATCTTAGATGCATCAAAGAGTCTGCTGTAGTGTGTGCTGGTACCACTTGTTCAGAATTTTAACAGTTTTCTGAGCAGACACAGTATATAAATATGTCTCATCTCTTTGAATGTATATCATCGTGGCTTTCATAAGGAAACCTTGGAGGCCTCTGCAGTGTATCTGAATACTTCTCTTAACTGGCTCCATGTTTCAGGGACAAAAGGAGAGCAGCATGGAAGTAACCTTCTGCTTACTGGCCCCTCCAGACCCAGTCCTCTCCTTTATTCTGTGTCTTCTAGTGCTGCTCCCACCGTCGCAGTGGGACTTCTGCGAGCTTCTAGGACACCCTGCACACTCATGGCTTTGTCACTTCATCACGTTTTCCCCATGAAAAAGAATGCATTTTCTAGTTTGAGAACCCTGCTGGCAGCCATAGCTGCCTGTTAGAGCTGCTGAAGCTGTAACCACGGGAGCAAGGGAGGCTTCCAAAGCCTTAAACCTGGCCTCTGGAAATGGCTGCTTGAACGTTCCTTCAGCTGCTTCTTCTTTTTTCAGAAACTATATTTGGGCTTTGAATACTTAAAGCCTTTTTTATCAACTAAGGTCCTGACTAGTTGATTTCATTCCTTGTAGTCACCACGGATTCCCTTTGAGGCTTTCTGTAAAGGTATTCAAAACCCTGTCCCATCCTGCCCTGGAATATTAGGGATTTTATCTCTAAAATAATTTTATTCATATACTTAGTGGTTTAAAAATTTTTTTATCATTTTTCAATTCCCACATACCAGAATAGAATATTTAAATAATTTATTTCGTTTTCTTCTTATGCAATAGCAATGTTTGTCCTTGTAGCTTGAGTGAATGTCAGGGCTTGCTATAACTAATTTCATTTCATGAACTACAAGTTCTTACATTACTTTGTAATTTAAGTTACATCTTCCTTGTACCTTTTATCAAAGTGAAGCCCAGGTTACTGCTGTTTTTGAGGGGAAAAGTCATCGCACCCAGTAAGAGGTAAAGGACCCCAGTGCCAAGCCTCTTGACCCAACCTTCCATGATGGGGGACAGAGAGGTGACTGCCCTGTCTTCCACAAGCACCCACACACAAAATAAATGATGTAAAAGTGAATAAAATCCATTTGCTAAGCTGACACTGATGCTTTTTCTCATCCAAAGTGTCTAGTCTTGGTTCTAAGGAGGACTTCCTGCTGAGTGTCCTCTGTGTGTTTGGTGTCTTCCTCAATATCCATGTAAACTAATTTTGAAATTAATTATCAGTTGATGATGGTGAGATGGAAAGTTTGTTTTTGTGTTTACTTAGAAACAGAAAGTGAGACCCTGGATTTGAAGCAAGTCAGTGGTTTATGGCTTTTGCTTAAACTGGCCAAGATCACTTGTTAATCTTAATGGTATACTTCATAATTATAATTTCAGCCTTAATAGACTTTGTCTTATTAGAAATAATATTTGAAGAAAAAAGTCTTAAATATGTTCAAACAAAGATCTAGAATATGCTTGAGGTTCATTATCCTCCACTTTTCCTCAAAGCACAAAAGACAGCCAAGCCTACTACACATTGTCTCCTGGCAGAACCCCTGCTCAACTTCCTAGCTCGCTCTCCCCAATATGCTGGTTAAGTCCTAAGCCTGCAGCATCCTGAGCCCCCAGCTTCCTGAGTCCTAGCTTCCTGCTTCTGCCTTTTGTGCTCTGTTCTTTGACCTCAAAATAGAAGGCAACAGTTATATCCAGGAAGGAATCAAAAAGCCTCCTCCCAACACAAGTTGGAGTCCCTAAATTACAGTAACCCTCCCACCCCCTCCTGTCTCCTGTGTTTATACTCCCTCCCTTTCTCTGAGCAGCAGTATCACTCAGGCTTTTGCTCTGCATGAGTGACATGCACAGAAGAAGCTCATCTTCCCTTCTCTAAGTGGGTTTCTGGTTTTTAGTCCTTTCTAACCTTTTCCCCCCTTTGTAATGGGCTTTAACATTTGTTGAGTATTGATTTTGTTTGCCTGCTCTTCAGGCTTTTTCTTAGCCATCTTTCTCATTTTTCTTTATCATCTGTACCTACAATTCAGCAGGCTGAGTAGACAGCCATGGGATCTTACATATGTCCTGGGTTGGTGCTTTTCATTAAACCATGTGGTATTTGTGTTCATTGACTGGCTGGCAGTAATGCATAAAATAATGATGGCAGCAGTAACAAGGCTGGCACTTAGCAAGAGCCCACTGGGTGTCAGTTATCATCATAGGAATTAATGTATTCATTACCACAGGGCAGTTTACGGAAAAAGAAACCAGATCTGTTTTCTTTGGTTCCCCTTTTTGTTTTGTGGTGTTAAGTAAACATGGATCTGTATCCCCAGTTTTTGGTTCTTCTAATGGTGTCATTAAGTAGCCCAGGCTGGCCTTGAACTTACTCTCTAGCTTCAAAGTTTTGGTCTTCCTGCCCCTGCCTGTTTCAAGAGCACTGGGATAACAGGTGTGTCATGATAACCAGTTATGTTTTTATTCTTAACTTGCAATTTATTCATATTTATGTACATTTCATTAATTGTGTAGTTTCATTAATTCTCTCTCATGGAAAAATAAGATCGTTTTTTAATGACTTCATTTTATATGTGTGGGTGTTTCATCTGCATATAGGTCTATGCATTGTGTGTGCCTAGTGTCAGCAGAGGCCAGAAGAGGGCATCAGCTCCCCTAGGACTGGAGTTGCAGATGGTTGTGAGCTACCATGTTGGTGCTGGGAGAACCTGGGTCCTCTGGAAGAACAGGCTGTGCTCTTAACCGCTGGGCCATCTCTCTAGCTACCCCTCTCCCCCTTGCATTTTGAAGGGATAAAGATTCACATGTTCAGTCAAAATCCCAAGCAAAAATGTGTCTATGGCTTTGGTCCATAGAGAATACAAGTAAGACAACAATTTCTACAGTCATATTCCTGTTTTTTTTCTAACTTTAAAGTCTTTCTTTGAGCCTTCCGAAGCCTGTAGCATCAGGCTAACTTTTGAGGTGGAGACAGGGGCAGTGGACTTAGAGGGTTAAATTGATTAGTTATCTTTCCAGTTAAAGAAGCTACAGACTACTGGGATAGCTGTCATGGCTTCCCGTGGTTAAACTCTAGATCTCTTTGTATCAGGCAGTAGGTCACTGGCCAGAAGACTCCTTGGAAATTTGGCTTTCCCTTTGCTTTGAAGGAAATTGAAATGAACATGGGGAACTGGAAAACCAAGTTCCCTATCCCCACTGGGACAGGGGGATACAGCAAATGACTTCTTTATCTTTGCTGTTGGACTGAGCTTTTGTGGAAAGCTGTTATCCCCTCAGGGGACTGATACCAGTTTGAGTAATTAACTCATGATTATGCAAAGATAATTTATCTAGCCCCTTTGTTTTTCTCTTCCCTTTTCATCGCCTTGGGCGACTCATTTCTTATTACTGTCTTCCCTATGTTAAGACTGAGGTAATGAAAATGGCAAGCAATAAAAAAGGAGCCCAACTGTTTTGCCCATTTTCCTTTCATTAGCAATTGTGTTTAAAATTAAAAGATATTAAACAATATGCTGGGCAATATTTTTACTTTCTATTAAGATTACACATAGAAGAATTTTGCAAAAAATAGTTTCTCCGTCATCCCAGAGCCATCTGGATTGAGTTAATCAACTCATACTTGCAGTAAATCAGAATAATTTATAGTAACAGCCTTTGTAGTGAGTGAAATATTTATTCTCATACATTCACACATGGTCCTGACAACAGTAATAAACTCTAGTGGGTTTATTAACTACCTGTTAAATATTAGATGAGCATATAACACTCCTGAAAATCGGTAGCACTGATTTCACCAACACTATTTCACAGTGAGGAAAACTGAGCTTCAGTTTAATTTGTAGGTAAAGATCATACAAACACTAAGTTCTTCCGCACAAGCCTGTTAGCCAAAGAGAAGTGGGAACAAGTACATTTTTGTGTACGTTAAGTAACAAGAATTTGAGCTTGTCATGGGAAGGCTTTCAGAGGAAGGCAAAAGGCCTATTTTCTGCGCTGACAACCTAGGGTCTGTCTAGTTTTTTATTCTACTAGAATAGGCCCTGAAACTAGCTCATGCATTCATCAGTATTGCACAGAACCCTTCCACCTGAGTTCCAGAAAAATAAGCTGCAATAGAAATGAGTGTTTTGAGCCAGTGATTACTGTCCTAAGGTCACATTGATACCTCTTTATCCCCTACTGAGAACCTCTCCTTGTAAAGTATTGGCAAGGGCCATTTTCTTTCTTTCTCTCTTTCTTTCTTTCTTTCTTTCTTTCTTTCTTTCTTTCTTTTTTTTCTTTTCTTTCTTTCTTTCTTCTTTTCTGCTTCTATTTATTAGTAGTTTTTGATTGAAAGAAAGAAAGTAATAGGATTTTAGTTCATCCAGTAATTATTGACTTCTTGCTTTCAGTCAGATATTACAAAGGTTCTGGGACTCTGGAATGCAAAAAATACATAAATAAATAAAAAATAAAAAGACAAATATGTTTCTCTTGGAGAGATTAAGTGGAAGAACAGAAATAATAAGCAAACTGAATCGCCGGGCCTTGGTGGCACATGCCTTTAATTTCAGCACTCAGGAGGCATTGGCAGGTGGATCTCTGTGAGTTCGAGACCAGCCTGGTCTACAAGAGCTAGTTCCAGGACAGCTTCCAAAGCCACAGAGAAACCGTGTCTCGAAAAAAGCAAACAAACAAACAAGTGAATGCATTTTATAAGGGTTGCGAGGACAGGCCTCATTGATGTCTGGTAGGGGTGTGATACATCTTGTGTTGCATGCAAGTCTTTCTCTGTACCACCAGCTCCCAAATAACAACACGAAGACATTAATTATGAAAGTTTGGCCTTAGCTTAGGCTTGTCCCACTAGCTTTTATTAACTAGTTAAATTAACTCATTTATTTTAATCTAAGTTCTGTTGCATGAGAAATTTACCTCATTTCTCTGTACTGTCCATGCTGCTTTCTCTGAGTCTGGCTCTAAACCCCACCTGTCTTCCTCTCCAGATCCTCTCTGTCCTGGAAATCCCATTTAACCTCTTCCCGCCTAGCTATTGGCCATTCAACTCCTTAGGGCTGAATAGCTAAGGGGAGTAAACTGAAGAGGTAGAGTAAACAGTGAGATCAAATGGCAAGTCAGGAGCTACATTCCATAGCAGTATGGTAGTCATTGTAAGGACTAAGGGAGATCCGCTGATGGTTGGTTGTAGGCATAGAGGGATGCTTGTCATTCTAGTTGCTTACTGAAAATAAACAAAAATGTGAAACCCAGGCAAGGGGCATTGATAAAATCTAGACAAGAGCTGATTGTGGCTAGGGTAGGTTCAAAGTGATGGAGATGATGTAAAGTGGTCAAGTTCTGGGTTTGGATAATATTTTGGATGGGAAGCCAACAAGTTTTGTAAGTAGATTGGATATTGGATGTGAGAAAGAAATATCTTTAGAAGGAGCAGTACTGAGGGTAGGTCAACAGGATTGATGAGAAGAAAGACAGAGTAGCCCTGTGCTGCTGCTTAGATACCCCCAATAAAATGTCAAGTTCCAGTGCAAGTTGTAGGTGCAAGCTCCAGTCTGGACATGCAAACACAGAGCTGTGAACACATACAAAGGTTAATTTACAGTTTGGGTCTAAAATGAGACCATTAGAAAACAAGTGTAGATTACAAGGACTAAGCCTTTGGCTATGTCAGTGTTTATTGCACAGTGATGGGATAGAAGAAACAGTGAAGCAGACTGACAGTTTGGCAAGTGATTGGCCAGTGAATATTCTCTGGAAGTGTCTTAGGGAAAAATGTTTTATGTATTATTCCCAATGGTCAGGACTGAGAACTGGGTATGGAATGGTATGAGCAGTTGCTTGGAAGATCATTTTAGAAAATGATGAGATGTAAAAACAGGGCAGAAATGATTGCAAGAGCAAAGGAATTAGAGACAGTGACTGTAGACACATTTGGGATTTTTGACTTTCCATAAGAGCAGAGATTGAGACTATCCAGGCAGAAAGGAGTAGTGGATTAAGTAAAGGGTTTTTTTTTTTTTTTTACGATTTATTTATTTATTATGTGTAGAGTGATGAGTGTTCGGCTTGCATGTATGCCTGCAGGCCAGAAGAGGGCACCAAATCTCATTACAGATGGTAATGAGCCACCATGTGGTTGCTGGGAATTGAACTCAGGACCTTTGGAAGCACTAAGGCAGTGCTCTTAACCACTGAGCCATCTCTCCAGCCCCCAAGTAAAAGGTTTTTAAGGTAGAAGAAACTATAGTATGTTTGACACTAATAAAAATGACTCAGTTGACAGAAGAAGATAATATAGAAGAGATAAATAGGGGGCAACTTAGAGAGCAGTGCTCTTGAATAGCAACTTCATATCCCAAACTGAAGCAACTGGAATGTAAAGTAAGTAATGAGTTACTGGCTGTGATTACTGAATAAATGCAGGTGTTGTCATGGGAAGAGTTGCCTGTGGTGAACTGGTTTCAGTAGTGGCTAACTAATCAAATATCATCATATCTGTACTGAGAATCAACAAAAATGTGAAAGCCAGGCAAGAGGCATTGATAAGATCTAGACAACAGTGATGGCAAATAGATAATTCCATCTAATAGCACATGAGAGGGCATGAGACTAATAGGCTTTTTTTTTTTTTTTTTCCCTGTAGTGGCTTGACAACTTACAATGAAAATAGACTGTTTCTTAGAGGCAGAAGACAAAAATAATTCCATTTTCAAAGAAAAATGAGGTGTTGTTTTGCTTTCCTGCTTGTTATCTAGAATATTCATCTGTTACAGGTTTTACAGGTTTGGTGTTCTGATTTTTTCTCTCTAATTTTCAGGCTGGAGTGAGGCAGCTTTATGTACAGATTGACTTCGCAGCGATGTAGTCAATGAAAAGAAATTGTTTGAGGACCAACATTTTCCAGTACTGTACAATCCAAAGCATTGTACTACCCAGTGCTCTAAAATAGAGGCGTCATCTCTACAACTCGGAGGCACCAAGTAGTGCAGGTAGAGTCAGCGTGTGCTGGGGACCACAGCCGGATCCTGCCCAGACTGTGGCCTTGTGTGCTCTTCCCTCCAAGCCATTCTGATTGCTAAGGTTTCTGGGTTTGTCCTAGGGTGTTGGGTTGTCTTTTTTTTTTTTTTTTCCCCTGGGGGTTCTTGCTGATCACCTTCAGCCCATCCTATCATCACACCAAGCCAGTGAGAGATTCAGACTGTGGGCTGCCACTCTTCCTAATGTCTTCACTAAAGCTGCTGGAAACCACTGCTTTTATCCCTACAAAACCAGTGTTGTTTTTACAAGCCGAAGTCTGTTTTCTATGAAATGTCACAGTTGTTGACGTTCTTCAGTGTAATCATACGTTTGTAAAATTGTTTGTACCTTGCAAACTTATGAACCAAACCATATTGGGTTTTCAAAGTGCCTTTGTATCCGAAAATATATTTGCCAGCACAGTAATGTACCATCAAAGGTCATATGTATGTTTTTTTAAATGGATATTCTGTAATTTGTACAAAATAAGACTTGCTAGTAACATATATAATTGTCTTTTGCATATTTCCAGCATAGGTTTAACTATATTAAATTTCTTGTCTTGTGAAAAAGGACATTATTTTGCTCTATAAAAAATTCAGTGATCACATTAAGATACTTTGTAGACCACTTTCAAAAGTGCAGATACACTAGAAAAACTCCTCTAGACCAAAAAAAAATCTGCTCTACTACAGATCCTATAAACTCTTGGCCTGTCTGTGGTAAATCTTCCAGTAACTTTCCTTGCCATTTTTACAGATTCTGTTGATGAGCGAAAGCACCGCAGAGTTGGCAGAAAGAACAGTGACAGTGACATTTTACAGCGTCATACTCTTTTTCAGGTGCCAAGCAGTACAGTTTCTTTTCCTGGTTTTGTTTGCACAAATACAAATTACTTCCAGGAATCCTAGGATAGCATTTGATTGAGTGTGAACTGTTGTAACTGTGGAGCCAATGTGGTTATATAGAATTCTTCCTAAAATTTGGTATCTTACAAATAGTTGATTTTCTAGGGTGAGTATGAGAAAAATACAATTGCAATGGACATGATACATACTACTCCCAGCACTCAGGAGGCAGAGACAGGCAGATCTCTTGAGTTCAAGGCCAGCTTGGTTTTCTGGGACAACCAGGGCTACATAGAGAGACCATGTCTTAAAATTATAAATGAACTGCAATTTGAGATGACAGGTGCTTAACATTCAAGTATTCTTGGTGTTTTCTGAAGAGATGCTGTTTGGGTGAACATTTTCCTATTGTACTTCATTTATCCCTACAAATACTCCCTTTAGTTTAAGTAAGTTGATATTGTTAGCAAAATTTTAAAAATCTTGAAAGGCAAAAATTAAGAGTATAGATCAGTGACAGACACTTTATCCGTAAAGGGGCAGAATTTATTGTTAGTTTTTGCCTGAGCTTTTGAGTACTTTTCCTCCTACTTCTGACTACAATTTATGAACCATTCTGTATGAGGAGAGCTATGCCAGTCTCAACTGCAGCAGAAAGTACACAGTGTCTGTGGTACCCTTTTTAAAATCAAGTGGGATTTCAAAACCTGTTTGCTTCCTGCCAGGCTGCAGTAGATTGGGTTTGATTGAAACAATGCCATAGTCTTTCAGGAGGGAAAGCACAGATGGAGATGTCCTGGCCCTGTACTGCTTCTTCATGTCCATTCTGAGTAGTTGAGTCCGACAGACCCTGGATATTCTGTGGGTTGGGGCATACTTTTAGAAATGACAGGTCTGGATGAAGGCACATACTTGGATTCTAGCCTTTACAAGCTAATCCTGGTGGCTCTATCAACACTGCACAGGTGGAGTCAACTTGGGTAGTTCTAAGATTTACCAAATCTGCTTTCCACTGGGCCCTTAATTCCATGTGGAATTTTTGTTGAAATGGGTCATTCTGTCTAGCTAGACCCTAAGTGCACCAATCCAAGAATGTTGCTTTTCTTTGATGAGGCATAGAATGTGTTTGATGTGAAACTAATTTTGCACTTTGTTCCAAGAGCTTTCCAGCTCATAACATTTAGCAAGTTGGCATTTACATTTTTGCTTAATTAAATGTTTGCATACCTGTGTGTACAAAAAAAAAAAAATGTGAGCAGAAACAACTTTTCACGGAAAGAAAGCTTGTCTTCTAGTGTTATTTATGCAGCCTAATACTAACCAGTGGTTCTACTAAGAAATACTACTTGGTTATGGTAATAAAATTCATTTAGATACTCCTAACATTAGGCTAATATTCTTTAAAAGAAAAAAAAAAGCCAATCTGAGTGTAAATTTGCCAATCTATGAATAACCAAAGTTTGTTCCTCTGAATAACAAACCTACTTTGTTCAGAGAAAGTTTACCTTACCAGACAAACATCTCCGACTAAGTATATTTTAAAAATTCGTTGTATTACTTGATGAAGAACTTGACCGAAGTCCAACTTCCTCCTTTTGGAAACTCTGTGTCTTTCTGAAGGACAGTATCTGGTTATGTGTAGGTTAGTGTTCCTCTTCTGTCATCTACCCTTCTTTTGTAGTGGAGGTGTAAGATCATGGCAACAGATGTCATTGTGATGTCCCTTTATCTTAAAAGATTCTTAAAAGCCTACACATATGTACTGGTAACCAAAATACTGTGACTTCTGTGTACCTCTATAAAGCAGCCAAATCAGTAACCCACAATGTAGCCAATCAGAACTCTCATATTTTGTTTTTATAGACAGTAACATGGAAACCAACCTGGTATAGAATGCTGGGATTTAAGAGTAGCACATTACTTACTGTAGAATTTCACACCCAAGCAAAGACTGTGCTGGGAGCAGTCTGGTTCTACCTCTCATGTTCAGATGAGAAACCTGAGGTCCAGAAAAGCTGTCATTTCCTTAAGATTACAGGGATGAGTGGTGGCGAAGCCAATGCTCAAAGGCAATTATCCGATGCCAACTCTCTGTACACTGTACTGTGCTGCTCCCCTTTGTGACATTGCCTTTCTGTAAATGTGACTAAATATGGCTTGTAAATAAAGAACTCTGACCTCTAGTTTTGGTACATGAAGGCACTTTATAAATGGAATGTTGTCTCATTTTTCATATATAATTGTGAAGTTTAGATTATTTCCATAGTATTTGTTGCAAAATAAATTATAATAATTATTTTTTATTCTTCCAAAACCAACTCTTGACTTGGAAAAACAAAACAAAATTGTACTTTAGATACTTTTAACTTGTAAGTGAATTTTTATTACTTGCCCAAGGCTCAGTCCAGTTTAATCCTGGCTTACTTTCCTAATTTTGCTTATATACTGTAAACTGTTTCCTTTTAGATAGCAGGCTGATTCACGGGTCATGCCATTTCAGCCCTTCAATCCCTGGAGAGTGTTTTTACATTAAAAATTCTCAGAGCTGTGAAAATGGGGACAGTGAATGTATGCAACACATCTTTTACTTCACTTGGGTCAAGTTTTGAAATCTTAATCAGAACTGCAAATACTAGACCACTGCTTTTGACTCTTCGTAAATGTATTACCTTTGCCAAGTTAAGGTCTTTTTGTTTGTTTTTTTACAAAGAGTCATCATTGTTGAAACACATTATTTTCTAGTTCATACGAATCTTGGGGGGGAGTGTCTTTTATTCTTTGAAGAACATTCATTAAATGTTCTATGAAGGATTCTCAAGATAGGATTTCTAAAGGTCTCCTTAGTGATTCAGATCTCTACCACAGAATCAAGACACTGAAAAAAAAATTGTATATCAAGGAAAGTGTTTGCAGAAATATAGCAGAGAGGTATAACTCCATTTAAAGGCCAAATGGACAGGGCTTTTGATGATGTCATCTTTGGTTTATATTAGGCCTTAGCCATTTCCTAACTGCAGCTCACACAGAAAACAAGGTAGATAACCTCTGCTAAGTATGTATCTGAACACTTGGTGGCTTTTCTCATGTTCTGACATTTAATTCTCACATTTTTATAAAGAGGGGGTTGCATGATTTTATGATTGACAGCATTTTAAAATGTAGCCCGTGATCCTCATAGCATGAGGAAGGAGTCCTTATCTGGGGAAGAGGCTGTGGTATGGCAGCAACTCAGTCTTTTCTGATGACTGCTTTTATAAGGCCCAAGACTTTGTAGCACATCTATGTGGACTCCTGGAAAATCAGTGAACACTCAAGGTGCCGTTGCTATGGGAACATTTACAAACTGCTTCTAGCCTGTTTCTTCCTGCTCTCTGTATGTTTGCTTTATAACTTGGTCACGGATCCAAAACCGTGCTAGGGAAAGTGGCACTAGAACTCCTTAAGTCCATTTACAAGCAATTAGAAAGTTTCATTGGAAGTCACATGGAGCTGCTCACTGACCTAGCGACCTCTATGCCAGCATTAAGAAGAGTGCCTGCCCTCAAGAACATCACTGGGGAATCATTTGCCAAAAATCACAGATCAATTTTCCGGAAGTGTTAAGGAGTATCTGATTTACACACTACATTTTACACAAGTTTTTTCAATATAAAAAGTCTGTTTCATAAATAGAAGCCTGTGCTTCCACAACAGCTTTGAATACGAATTTGTAATTTTGACCGTGATGTTGGAAACCAAAACAAGCTGAAAGTAGTCTTGTATGTCCTTCTCTACTTTGACTCTGTGGGTTTATGCTTACAGGCTCAAGAATATGTAGTTACCAGTAACCCTTAGTAGACCATAGCAGACATAAGCTAAAGGACAGGGATAGGAGAAAAATGAGACTCACTGCAAAAAACATCTCAGGAGTTCTGGCATTTCTGTGCAGGCTGGAGTTCTATCCATTCTGTCCATTTCTCCCCAGCTAGTCTGGGAGTTGCTCAATTTCTGTTTGCTACTCTCCATGCTGTTGGGGATTTGGCAGAACGGAGACTATGTGCTATGGCCTTCTGGACTACACAGCCACACTGGGGATTGTGTTGCCTCCCATGTTTTGGTGGAGAATTGCCATATTGCCATATCTTTTAAGGACTGTCTACTCCCCCAGAATATTCTGTCATCCAAAACTCTTTCGGAGAGATCCCTTGAAGGTGCTTCTAATGAAAACACCATGTGTGTTAAGTCATCTAAATGTCTCTAGAATACACCTACCATTTTTGTTTTGCTTCTGTTCAAATATTTTTTGTACATTTTCTCCCCTAACTTGGAATGATGTGACTGAAAGTTTGCCAGATCCCTTCTTCATATTTTCTGAACATGCCCACACTTCACTTTCCTTCTTGTAATGGTTTTAAACATGGCCAATTCTAGATTGGGGGTTGATTCCCTTGGTGAAGATCAAAACATTTCTACAAATGTTTACATACAAGGCCGGGTAGGAATGTCACCTAGAAGCAATCTGAATGGTTTGAAAATGCTGCAGTGACCAATTATGACTTGCCGAAGGGCACTCTACAGATCGCAATGTATGTATCTTTCATGTTTTCTACTTGCATACATTTCATACATATTTTGTTTAACCGCAATGTATTTTAAAATGATCATATACAGCTGTATTGAAAATTTGTTTTCAATTAAATTTCTGTTTAAAAGTCTTCCTGGGTCATGTCTGAGTTCAATGGACCAGAAAGAATGCTTGCAGAATCTAGAGACCAGATGCTAAGGTGCTGACCCGGAGCCTCTTCCTTTAGCTCAAATCCCTTTAGAATGACGTTTTGAGATTTCCACCAGCATTGAGTTGTTCTTGCCTCACTATAGATGACCTCATCTACATGAAGCTGACCTAGTCTGCTTGACCCCTCCAAAGCTTTCTTATCAGCGGTAATTCCTTTTGCCAGATATGGTGGTGTACACCTTTAATCTCAATAGCCAGAAGGATGCAAACGCAGGTGGATCTCTGTGAATCTGAGGCCAGTCCAATTCACACAGTGAGTTCCAGGGCAGTCAGGGCTACAAATTAAGACCCTGTCTCTAAATATTTTTTAAATGAAAAAAAAATTCCAGAAAAATCACATGCCATCTTGTCAAAGGGATTCTTTAGGTTTTTTTGTTTTGTTTTGTTTTGTTTTTCATATAATACATCCTGACTGCAGTTTCCCCTTCCCCGAGCCTCTCTCCTCCCCACCTCCCCAGTCCCCCAGATCTACCCACCTCCCCTCAAACAAGAGCAGGCCTCTCAGGACATCAACCAAACATGGCATAATAAGCTACATAAGACAGGCACATACCATCACATCAAGGCTGGACCAAGCAACCCAGTGGGATCTAAAGGGTTCTATAAGCAGCAAAACAGTGCAAGATTGTCTCTGTTCCCACTGTTATCCACAAGGACATCAAGCGACTCAGCCATAACATACATGCAGAGTACCAGGTTTCGCTAATCTCTTTGAGCCCCAGTGAGTCCTGGTTGGTTGAATCTGTAGGCTGTGTTCTCATGGTGTCCCTGTCCCCTCTGGTTCCTCTAATCCTTCCTCCCCCTCCTCTGCCTAATGTTTGGCTGTGGGACTCTGCATCTGCTCCCATCAGTTGCTAGATGAAGTCTCTCTGGTCTCTTTGAGGAGAATTCTGCTAGGCACCAATCCCAGAACACTCTGCAGGAAGGACAAACTAGGTCAAAGGTTTTGTGGCTGGGTTGGTATCCCAGTCCCTCCACTTGAGGCTTTGACTGGTTACGGAAGATGGCTGGTTCGGGCTCCCTGTCCCCCATTACCAGTCTTTGCTAGGGTTACTCTCATAGATTCCTTGGAGTTTCCAGTGCAGTGTTTCTACCTCACCCTCCAAGTGATTCTTATCAAGACACTTCAGCATCAGCCTTGACTGTATATGGACATTCTCCGCTGCATCCCCACAGATCCTTACAGTGTGGACAGGTGCTGCTTGCTGTGTCTTGAGTCTCCACAGCTCCTAGTACTCTGGCTTCACTTCAGTTTGGTCGAGTTGTTTAAAGGCCATCAGTGGCACGTGTGCCATGTTCATGGCAGAACTGCCAGCGTGTGGGAACAGAAAATTCTTCCATCCAAATTGCTTTTCAGTGACAATTCTATTCAGGATTATAGAATCCTAAGAAATTGTAATGTGGTCTTGACCACCTTTCCTTCCTCCTACCACAAAGTCCTTCTCTTCCTGTAAAATCTTTTGAATTCTCTTTCCATTCCAGGACTACTACTGTATTCTGCGACTTGCCTGAAAGCAGGATCACATTTGAGACTTGCTCATCTTCCCACCCAGTCCATGCCCAGCTTTGTCATGTCTTCAGCCCCTCAAAGAAGCATAGAAAGAATTGGTTACCAGGGCAGGGAATCCGTGGGGCTGGACTTTCATGTCAGTTGCTCTATGGACTTCCTTCTCACCTTGCCTGGCCCCGCTGCACTTTTACTCACTAGGTATGTAGCAGTCAGGGAATCTCTGCCATTGCTGTTTCCTAGAATCAGCCCCCAAGGCCAAGTCCCTGATGGCCTGTGGACAGTCACAATCTTTTCAGCTCTCGAAGTTTTTTTTTTTTTTTTTTTTTTTTTTTTTTTTTTGGTTCTTGGTTTTGGTTTTTGGAGACAGAGTTTCTCTGTGAGCCTATCCTGGCACTTGGTCTGGAGACCTGGCCTCAAACTCACAGAGTTCCGCCTGCCTCTGCCTCCCGAGTGCTGGGATTAAAGGCGTGTGCCACCAACGCCCAGCAGCTCTCACAGTTTTGAGACAAGCTGTGTTCTTCTACAGCTCCATGCTGTACCAATCATGCCTTTAAGAGTCTGCTGCCTCCCCAGAACCCTGCCTATGTTGCCTGGCTGTCAAAGCTTCCAAGTGCTCTTTCAGTCGTCTACTCAGAATGCTAGTTCTTCTTCTCATTGCTTCCTTGTTTTGGTTCTTCCTTAGACATGACCATTATTATTTTTTTTTTAAATTTTCAATCTACATTTTTTGTTTAGATTGGTTTTTTTTAGGATTTTATTATTTATTATGTATACAACATTCTGCTTCCATGTATATCTGCACACCAGAAGAGGGCACCAGATCTCATAAGGGATGTTTATGAGCCACCATGTGATTGCTGGGAATTGAACTCAGGACCTCTGGAAGAGCAGTCGGTGCTCTTAACCTCTGAGCCATCTCTCCAGCCCCCAATTAGACTGTTTTTTGGGGAAGTGTACATTCCTGGTATATAGTGTTTACAAGCTACCTGTCAATTATAAAACATAACTTTCTATGAACTTTGTTGTTGTTGTTTTGTTTTTGTCTTGGGTGTTTTGTTTTGTTTTTGAGACAAGTGGCTGTCTTGGAAATCACTAGGTACACCAAGCTGGCCTCCAACTTCCATGGATCCACCTACCTCTGCCTTCTGAGTGCATCAGGCTCAGCTAAAGGTTTGTTTATGTTGTTTATGTACACACATGCTTTGTCTACACACCAGAAGGGGGCATTGAACCCCACTATATATGCTTGTAATCCACCATGTGGTTGCTGGGATTTGAACTCAGGACCTCTGGAAGAGCTGAGCAGCCAGCCAGCCAGCACTCATAACTGCTGAGCCAGCTCCAAACCCTCTGGAAACTTGCTTTTTTTTTTTTTTTCCCCTTATTTGGTCATATTTCTCACAGGTAGCAATAAGCAAGCTTTGCATCTAGACTGGAGACACAACAGAGATGAGAAGCAAACACATCAGTGGCAGCAATTAACTGTCATGCATTCTATTTCAAGGGGAAAAAAAAGAAAATTAACATCACTTTGATGGTTCATTTGAATACTGTTCAGTTTCCCTAACCCTAACTCCAAGCTTTGAAAAATCTACCACTGGGGCTGGAGAGGTAGTTCAATGGCTATGAGCACTGGCTGCTCTCCCAAAAGATCCATGTTCAATTCCCCACACCCATGTAGCAGCTCACAACCATTTGTGGAACACATGCATGTGGTACCCATACATGCAGGAAAACCACCATACATATTAAAAACAACATGTTTTTTTTTAAAGTCTACCATGAAACCCATGCTTGACTGTGTTACCAACACTTAAATAGACAATTCAATTATATTTGCTAAATTCCTAAAACCAAGAGGAGCCTGATGAGGTACCATTAGAATGTTTACAGCCTAGCATAATAGGCAATCAAAATTTACTTTGGAAAAAAGGAAAAAAGAAAAAAAAAAAAAAAAAGCCAGAGAGACAGCTCAGTATCGAGGTTTGCTGGACAAGCATGATATCATGAATTCAGATCCCAGCATTCATGTAAAAACCTAGATATGGCCTCACAGATATCTGTAACCACAGCCCAGGGATATCACTAGGCTTTCTAGACCACCAACCTAGCTTCAAGTTGAGTGAGAAACTGTCTCAAAGGAATAAGCTAGAGACACCCAATGTCCTCCTCTGGCTTCCACATGTGTTCGTAAACCTTTTATTCACACATACATACAGACACCCAACACACACACACACACACACAAATGTGTTTTTTAATGGTAAACTTGAATCTTTGAAAACAGTACTTATATGAATTATTAAGTTCAACCTTATTTTTTTGTAGGCCAGATATTGCTAAACTTAAAAGACTAAAAATAAGATAATACAAAGCTAAAACATTCCCAATAGTATTTTCTGAATTTGGCAAGAAATATTCTCTTTGCAAGTACGACATTTTATAAACAGATTCATATTTCCATGTAAGCATAGGTATAGTTTTACGGCAACTATAATTTTGCCATCTTTTAATTTTTGGAAATGTGATCATCTAATATTGTAAGTATAACAGGAACTATTTGATAGCCTCATCTTGTCCTCACCCTAGGCACTGAGTTAGATCATCATGTTTAACTTTACAGGAATTCACTACGTCAGGCTACTTCCCCTTGAGTAGTAATTAGTATATAGGTCACATTGGCTTAGACTCCAAAAGGTAAAGTTAACACATCTACAGTCCTGTTAGCTTGTTGGAGGCGGTACTGTGAGGACAGCCAGAAGCTACGGAAGCCAACAGAAGCCTGTGGAGAGGGCAGATTTTCTGGTTGGAAAAGCTATGGCTTCAAAAAAGCAGAGCAAATTTCTCTTTCTTTTCCACACGGATGATGATTAAGTCACACTCACTGAAGTATGAAATAAAGAATAATTAGAACATCCGGTCCCTGGCCAGAGGTTGAATTGGGAACTGTGATGTAGGAGATAGACTGGGGGGCACAGAGACTAGGAGAACCATATAAATAACATTATGAATCCCAAGGATCACTTTCAGATCATTATGCTTTGATGTCAATCCTATTCAGCAAACTAAAAAAAAAAAAGCCCTGTAACTTCCCAAGTCCCACACTGAGCAAGACAAGCTACACAGGTTTTGACCTATGTCTTTGACCTGCCATCTTTGATCAGTCTATGGTCAAGACAGACTAGTGGTCACAACCTTTACCACATTGCTTGTTTCTGGGAACAGAAAGGCTCACTTCACGGTACAATTGAGTGAAGTGATCTCATATATATATTCAGAATGTCCACATTAAATTCCAGGCAGGTTGACTAAGCATGGTAGCAACTTCAACATTGGGATAACCTAATAAAGACCCTAAAGTAGCCACTATAGAAATGCACACCCACACAATCACAATAATCTTCCAACAGAGGCTAATGTAAGAAATTGGAGATTAGGGCTGGGGAGATGTCTCAGTGGCTAAGAGCTACTGTTCTTGCAAAGGACCCAGGCCTGGCTCCCATGTGATGGCTTCATAATGTTTTGTAACTCTAGCTCCAGGGGATCCAACATCCCTTTCTGTCCTGTGTCTCCTGCATGCACATGGTACACATAAACTCACATAGTTGCACACATATGCATAAAAGTAATAAATCTTTTTAAAAAATGGACATTTAGGACAGTAACCAAAATTTTAAAAGCACACAAAATGAATTCAATCGCAGTATAGAAAAAGAGTCAATAACCTTGAAGACACATCAGGAAATTTTACTTACTCATAAAACATGAAATAAAAGGAACAGAACAGAACACAGAGACTTGTGGGACAAGAAATGCCCGCTGTTCCCGTTACCAGATTCATCAGAAATCAAACAGCATTGGGGTCTGCTGTACAAAAACCCCAAGGTAAAAATAGAGATAATAGAAAGGTATATACATCTGGTGTTTAGTAGTTCTTAGCTCTTTAACGGGTGGGTTTTGATGCCTTGGTTTTTGGTCTCTTACTAGCATGCCTACTAAGAGGGTAAAGCATGCCTGCCACATTTGGTGACATAAATCTATAGATTCAAGGAGCTGAATCTCACAGGCATCATTGCAAGTATCGATACGGTTATACTACATATATGTAAAAAAAAAAAAGGAGTTAGAAAACAAATCATTTTGAAGAGACTTAAAGGAAGTGCACTCTTAAGATTAAAAAAAAAACTAAAGAAATCAAGAGGTAACACTGTGCTGCCTGTCTCGACAACAGCCAGTGGGCAGACAGAAATTGAATTTAAGTTGTACTTTACTAAAGAGCCTATGTTCTGAGAAGGTGGCAAATTAACAACCATAAAATAAAACACATCTTGTCTTCAGCTAGCAGTGTCTGGAGAAGGGGGCAGAACCAATAACTCCACAGTTGTCTTGCAAGAGACAAGCAACAAGTACTCCCATGCAGTACTATAAGAATGCAAACCAGAAGTGCCAGTTTGGAAGTCATTTTAGCAGTGTTAAGTCACTCTTGTCATCGCTGGCTTATGCAATGTGGGGGGGGGTTTACTTTGGCTTAGGGATACTGTCCATCATGGTGTGGACAGCACTGTGGCAGAACCCTATTGATAGCAGCATGAGGCTGGTCGCTCACTTCTTGGTGGATTGGGGAAAAAGGAAAATTCTGGTGTTTGGGTATCTATCTTTCTCCTTTTCCCCTTTTTATTCGATCCCGAACTCAAGTCTATGGGACGGTACTGCCCATATTCAGGGTAGAGCTTCCTCACGGATCTTCTGCAAATACCCTCACCCAAAAGTGTGCCTCACTGGTAACCTAGGCATTTCTTAATGCAATCAGGCTGCTAATCAAAATCAGCTGGCACAAGCAATTAAAAATGTATTTTTTTTCAGAATTTCACATATTCATACAACGTATTTGATCACATTTGACTCCCACTGTCCACTTTCAACTCCTTGTGGATATTCTCCACATCCCTTTCCAACTTGTCTCTCTCTTTTTTTACAACCCGGACAGAGTTCAATTTGTGCTGCTCATATACACATGGGTATGGACAACCTGCCAAGAACTACACTCCTACTAGCCCGTAACTATCAATAGCTTTTAGGCAAGAATTGGCGCTCGTGTGCCCCTCCCCCATCCGTGTTGGAAGGCTGACTGGCTTGATATTGTGCACACAACCACAGCTACCACAAATTCATGGGTGCAATGGTCATCTCCAAAAGACAGTTTCACTCTGATCCTTTCTGATCTCTGGCTCTTAGAATATTTTTGTTCCCTCTTTATGTTCCCTGACCTTTGACAGGAAGGAGGTATAATACGGATGTCCCATTTATGGCTGAGTGCTCCACACATATTTGTCTTTGCACTTTGACCATTAGTGAACCTGTGTATTAACTATCCACTACACAAGGACTTTTCTCGGATGAGAATGGAGAGTTACACCTGTCTGTGGGTGTAGAAATTCCTATTTAGATGGCAATTGGATACTGTGTCCTTTTAGCAAGATAATAGTAGTAGCTTCACCCAGGGAGTGTATGCACTTCCCAGCCCTGTGTTCTTAGCCAGATTTACAGTACAAGATAAGAATTTCTTCCTGTGGAGAAGGCCTTAAATCCAATCAGAAAGTTGTTGTTTGTCTGTATTCATGTCACTGTTGTATCCAGAAACACATTTTACTAGGCCAGTCAACAGGCACTTTCTTATAGAAGTAAATCAACTCCTACAATATGAACCAGAAATCCCATTCATGGGTGTCTATTTAGAACAACACAGAAGCCTGTATGTGAATACTTTAACTATTCTCATTACTGCTAGAGAATAGAATGTAGAACTCTTAGATGATCAGTGGATAAACAAACTGCAGGCTCTCCAAACAAGCGAACTCTACTAACCAGTAAAAAGGAATACACTCTTGATACCTGGAACAGTTTGCATGAATCTCAAGAACACCCTGCTTATGGAATCCCCCGCCTCTCTCTTCTTGACATTCTTTAAAAGGCCAAACTATTGAAAAGGAGCAGATCACTGGCTTCATAGAATTACTGATGAGATAGAAGGGTAAATGGACAGAGGAAAGGAATTCTTCTGGATGATAAAACTATGACTATATTTAAGACATTTCACTGTATCATAATTTTGATTAATTTAAAACCAGCTAGGCTGGAACAACACGGTAAAATACTTCCCTAGCATATAGAAGGCTATGCAATTAAGCATCCTCTGGCCCATCACTGCAGAGTCAAAAGCTAGTAAGAGACCAAAAGCCAAGGCATCAAAACCCGTTAAAGAGCTAAAAACTACTAAACACCAGATGTATATACCTTTCTATTATCTCTATTTTTACCTTGGGGTTTTTGTACAGCAGACCCCAACGCTAATCCTCTCTTCATGCTGGTGAAGTTTTCATTTTACAATTTCATTATTATTGAGTTTAAATTACAGGTTTGCCAGGTTGAGCAAAAACAAATAAATAAACCTAATTTTAATTTCAAATTACATTTGGTGAGCCCCCCATTCTCCTTGTTAGCTTTTCTAACTAACTTTGGTTTTTATCAGTTTTACCTGACAGTTATGGGTTTCCTACTTGTTTTGCTTATAATTCATTGAGCACATTGGATCAATGCAATGATTATTATACTAAATTTGAGGAAATTTTGACTGTCATTTCCGTTTTTTAAAAACTGCCCTATTTCTCTTCATTTTTGAGAATCTACTTACATTCTTATTAAAACTGTTGATATTGGTGCTGGTGAGATGGCTCAGCAGTTAAAAGTGCATACTGCCAACCTAACAACCTGAGTTCATTCGATACAACCCACTTCTACAAACTGTCCTCTTACCTGCAAACAAGCCCTCTCACGCATGTGCACACACACGAGTGCACAGACAGACAGACAGACAGACAGACAGACAGACAGACAGACAGACAGACACACACACACACACACACACACACACACACACAGTCTTCTTTACACAAAGTGTAGACATTATGATTCTGATCATTTTTCCCCCTTTAGTCTTCTTCTTTAGGTGGAACAATTTCTCTTCCTCTGTACTTTGCCCAATTTGTTCTGTCTTTCTGTTGTTCCCATCTCTTGGATGGCAGTATTCATTATTCATTATATTCACAAATTACAAGCACCTTTGTTCTTCATCTATGCACAGTTCTAAAGTTTATATCTACTAATCCCAAGGTCTAGGTTATACTAACATCTTATCCCAGCATTCTTCCTTTCTAATCATAAATTCATGCCTCATAATGTGTCCTATAGCCACTGCTGATATTACATTAATTTTTCACCACATTCTGAACCATCTTAAACTTTGTTCTAATAGGCATTAAACTACTTGTTTGTCACCTTTATTCTATGTAGGCATAATTTCACATTATATGAAATGCTCTGTCCTTAGTTTAGTTCTGAGCCTGGTCTTTACTTAGTACATGGCCATTCCAGGCTTCTGATAAGAAAGCATGCATATTTATCATCCCCTTCTAACTTGTCAGAATTCAAACTTGAAGCTGTCTTCTCTCTGCAATAGAGAACAATGTCTATTTCTCTGGGCCCCTGGCCTGACTTTTCACGGGGATCCTGGCTCTTCCTACACATATACACAATTAGGGTGAGCTGAGAATTTAGGACACACCAATAAGATCATTAGAGCATCTGAATTTCTAAGGGCTCCTACTTCAGTTTCTAGCCCCCTTTGGAGCCCACAGTTCAATCCACTAACCATCTCACCCCAGTACAACACCACCTAGGCTGAACTGAAGTCAGGGAATGCTACATAGACAGGAAAAGCCACATGGACAGAATTCTGAGCTTGCTCTGACTCCCCAGTGTCTTTCCACTGTAACAGAGTTAAAACTGGAGGGTGTGAGCCATTCAACTACCAAACCCAGAAGGCCTTTATTTTTTATCATTTTTAAATGTTTAGTTTAACATCTCTGAAGAAAAGAATATAAAACCTACTTAAGGTACTCAGTATTTCCCTCTTGTATACACAAGAGACTGAAAATGGAATGTTTTGTATGAATTAAAATATTTCATCCCAAATGAAACATCAAAATAATTTCTAGCTAATACACAATACCGAAAAGTAGGAAAAATTTCAACCAATAATCATGACTATACTAAGCAAAAAGGTCATGTTGATTAGGCTATAGAAATACTCATGACTTGAACTAACACAGTAGCTGATAACAAAGCTACTTCTATTCCAGACCAACAAAGGTTATTAATGGTTGCTAAACAAATGAGCCTTTTAAAATTGTTAAGTGAAGACTAACATCAACACTGGGTAGCCTCTTCCTCTATCTTGCTCCAATACTTATTATTTATTTGAGATATCTTATTATATAGCACAAGATTTCCTGGAACTTGCCAGCTGTTGCTATAAGATTAGATTAGCCTTGAACTCAGAAATCTGCCTGCCTCCCAAATGCTGGAATTTAAAGACTACACTACCATACTAAGCTATTGGAAACAGTGTCTCTCATTGAGTAAGGCATCCACAGATTAGCCAGAAAGCTCTGGGATCTGCCTCTCTCTGCTCCTCCCCTAGCGTTAGGGTTCCAGCTGCCACACTGGACTTTTCACATGAGTGATGGGGATTCTGGTTCTCAATGCTTGCACAGAAGCACTTTACCAAGGCATGTTCTCACTTCACAACAGCTACCTTTTTAGAAAGGAGACTATAAAACAATGAATGAAGAGTTAGCAATCTTGTATTTGCTTTACTTGCTACTCGGTGCTTCTTTATCCCTTGAAAATCGGGATTCACATTCCAGTTTCCTCAAAGTTATTCTTAGAGGATGTCTTTGGATGCCCAGTCACATTTTTCCAGCTTGGTCTGCTCCATGTGTGTACCCCCTGACAAGCAGCCAACTGATGCTCCAACAGCAACTGATGATGAAATGGGGAAAAACTGCTGCAGGAAACCAACTGTTGGGTCAACTTGCTTCCTCTTGGTCACTTCTGTTATACTTTCTAGATAAATGACAGACCCAGGCCATCTGTCATATGAATATCACACACCCAATCTAACTGAGACAATGTGAGACAACAGAAACTGTCCATGTTCAGAGTCCATTAATACTTTGGGATTCTGGGATAGAGAAAAGACTTAGCATTTCCATCTCCAGTGGGTGCAGGGTGCTCCCTGTGATGACCAAAGAATGCAATGGTTCTCCCAAGTCCACTGTACACATCTGCTGTAAAGTGCCTGCTGCGATTTTCTGGTCTTCAGCACCAACTCTAGCTAAGCCAACACAGAGTGTCTCCTCAGTGATTGCTGTTTAAAACAGGGGACAGGGGAGGAAGAGACAGAGGATAAAGTCAATTACCTTGTTCAACATTCAAAAAATATTAGTACTTCAAGTACATTGAAAACATCTTAAACATCTGAAACCTCCCTACAGACCAGTTACTTTATCTTTTGAGATTCCCCAAGATTTCCATAGGCTTATATTTTAACAACTTGAAAAAGAGTTAGCTGTATTTATACTCGACATACCGATAATAATATTCATCTTAAAGCAGATTCTGAGTAAACATCTTCATCATTCACAATTATTATAGAGATAAACAGATGGAGGCAGAAGAGGGTGTTGGATCCCCTGTAGCTGGAATTACTTGTAGTTGTGAGGCTTTCAAGGTGGCTGCTAGAAACCTGACTTGGATCCTCCTTGTCTTAGTTAGGGTTTCTATTGCTGTGAAGAGACACCATGACCATGGCAACTCTTACAAAGGAAAACATTTACTTGGGGTGGCTCACTGACAGTTCAGAGGTTCACTTCAGTATCATCATGGTGGGACATGGTGGAGTACAGTCAAACATGATGCTTACTGGAGAAGTAGCTAAGAGTCCTACATCTTGCCAGCAACAGGAAGTGGTCTGAGACACTAGGCGGTATCTTGAGCATATATGAGAACTCAAAGCCCACTTCCACAGTGACACACTTCCTCCAACAAAGCCATATCACTTAATAGGGCTACTCCCTTTGAGGGCCATTTTATTTTCAAACTACCATATTCCTTAAGAACAGGAACTGTTCCTAAGGAGTGAATCATCCTCCTGCCCCAACACACTTACATTTTAAATACATTCTTAAGATACATTTATACTGACCAAGACACAGTAAAAATTAGGGGACTGAGAAAAATTCACAAATGTGAATTTCTGCTCAGCCATCTAATTAGTTATATGACAAACCAGTTTTTTTATTTAAAAAAAAATGTTTTACCTCTTAAATGGTAGCTGTATGGACTAATACAATGAGTACAAGAGTATTTAGTAAAGCCCACAACAAATAACAGTCATTTCTGGGTACTTAAGCTTTTAAATCCAGAATAAATATCCATATTTATCTTTTTATAATCATTCATTTTGGTGCTATAGCTAAAGTGCTAACTTATTGGTTTTATCTTTTAGTTTACAAAATTTACTCACTGAAAAGTGACTTAAAAAGAAACGGGACAAGGATTTATACAAGGCAAAGAGGGCATACAAGAAACTCAGAGCCACTAATAGGGATAATATGTTCAATGGCTGGGCCAGCAGGATGGCTCAGGAAGGAAAGGTACTTGCCACCATGCCCTGATGGCCCGAGTTTGATTCCTGAGACCCACGTGGTGAAAGGAGAACTGACTCTTGAAAGTTGTCCTCTGAACTCCGTATGTACATTTTTGCAAGTATGCACACACATAAAAAAAAAAAAAAATAAATAAATAAATGTATGTAATAGAATGTAATAGAGATTTAAAAACATAAACTTATCACTTGAAAATGCCTTAATGCATGTTTTTATTAGAGGTCAGGTAAAAATAGTGCTCATAACAGAGTATGACAGGTACATTTAAGAAGTTCTCAGGAAACATATTTTTTGTATACCACATACTGTGTCTACTTATTAGGAGTGTCTTGTCTTTATCCTAAAGAAAACTATTCTGTATTTCAGTGTTCAAGAGAAAAAGCAGAATAAATGCATTTTTGTAGTATAGATCTTATTGATTAGAACTAAAATGATAGCTCTCTATCAAACATTTATACATTACCATATTAACATAAA